ACAAAAAAAAATTTCGTCAAAATTTTTTACAAAAAAATTGTCACAAATTTTGACGGAAATGTTTTTCGTCAAAATTTTGATGGAAATATTTTCTGCAAAAAAAATTTGACGTAATTGTTTTGCGTCGAAACTTTTCGATTGAAATGTGGTTCATCAAAATTTTGGACGAAAATTTTTTCATTAAAAGTTTCGACGGAATTTAGATTCTATCAATAATTTTGACTGAAATTTTTTTTTCGTACAAAATTTATGCTAGTGTTTATGGCAAAATCTGGTTCCGTCTCTAATTTTTTCTTTAGTTTTGTCAGAAATATTTGGACGTATATGACTTTCATCAAAAATTTCATCATTATTTTTTATGAAATATTTTTGGTCAATAAATTCTATCGGTATTTGAGACTTTTCTAATAATATCGCATTTAAAAATAATTCACAATTATGTAGTTTTAACATTTTAATGCTAAGGGTAGATAAGTAATTTTAAATATTTTTTCCCTCAAACCCACCAAATTGGGGGAACTTTAATTTTAAGAAGAATGAGAGTTTTGGAGGGTTTAGTAAAAATTCCCAAACTCTTCCCCTCCTTTGTTTAAACACACAAACAAGGGAAAGGCTTATTAAAACCCTCCCTTTCCTTTCCTTCCCCTCCTCGAACCAACTCCCAAACAAAGCCTAAAAAAATGAGGGGAAGGAAAGGAAAGGGAGGGATTTAGTAAGCCCTTCCCTTGTTTGTGAGTTTAAAAAAATGAGGGAAAGAAATTGAGGATTTTTACTAAACCCTCTTTCTTAAAATTAAATTTCCCACAATTTGGGGGGTTTAAGTGAGAAAATATTAAAAATTACTTATCTACCCAGAGCATTAAAATGTGAAAACTATATAATTGTAAATCATTTTTATATGTGATATTATTAGAAAAGTCTCAAATACCGACACAATTTATCGACGAAAAATATTTCTTCAAAAAAAGTGATAAAATTTTTGATGAAAATCATATACGTCAAAAAATTTCCGTCAAAACTAAAGACAAAACCAGATTTTGCTATAATCACTAACATTAATGTTTTACGAAAAAAATTCAGTCAATTATACTATAATTCCGTCGAAACTTTCAACGAAAATATTTCTGTCCAAAATTTTGACGAAACACATTTTCATCGAAAAGTTTCGACGTAAAACAATTACGTCAAAATTTTTACGGAAAATATTTCCATCAAACTTTTTTGCAAAAAAATTTTGTCGAAAAATATTTTCATCATAATTTATGACTGAAAATATTTTTGTAAAAAAATTTAACGAAATTTTTTTTTGGTCAAATTTTTTTACAGAATCTAAATTTCGTCAAAATATTACACAAGAAAACATATTCATCGAAATTTTTGACGAAAAATATTCCATCAAAATTTTCAACGAAACACTTATCCAAGGATAATTTTTGACAGAAAAAAATTTCATCAAAAATCTTTTCAAAATTCAAATTTCGTCGAAAGTTTTCGACTGAAACATTTTCGTTAAACTTTTTGACAAAATAAATTTTCGTCGAAATTTATAACGAAATACACTTCCATCAAAAAATTTTGATGCAAAATATTTCTAACAAGTTTTTTGATATAAAACATTTCTATCAAAATTTTCAACGAAACACATTTCTATCAAAAAAATTCGACCAAAAATATTTTCGTAAAATTTGTGACGAAAAATATTTCGATAAAAAATTTTGACGGAAAAAATATTCTGTCAAAATTCTTTACAGAATCTAAATTTCATCGAAAGTCTCGAATGAAACATTTCCCTCAAAATTTT